AGTCTCACTTCGGGAGGCTCAAATTCACCATTAGTATATAAGCTTACCAGTTTAACCGTAAAAAGTTTTCTAAGTAATATTTTTTAACAAAATCAGTTAATTTTTTAACAAGTTAAAAAACCTAAAAATGATACTGTGGAAAGTAAATAAAAAAACAACGAATACCTTTTTATAATCATTTTTTTTTTAAATATAATTAAAATAATTAAAAATACTGCAGAACGCGAATAAAAAAAAAATCTTTCTCAAGTTATCATTTTTTAAACAATATTAAAATAGTTAAAAAATATTTAAAAAATCTGTAGAACGTGAATAAAAAACAAAAAAATTCTTTTTTTAAGTTATAATTTTTTAAACAATATTAAAATAATTAAAAAGTATTAAAAAATTACTGTAGCGCGTTACAAAACACTTTATCAATAAAATTATAATATTCAAAAAACTGGAAAATTTACTGTTAATTGTCAATTAAAAATAAAATGTATTGATAAAATATTATTGCTTTATGTATAAAATTATATGAGGCTTGATTTTAGTCGTTTCGGGAGCTCTCTTAATTCTTTTCTCCATGTCGTTATGAATTTCCCATCCATTTAAATGGAGTACATACGATACGCAATGGTCGTATGCATATCCTACAGCACCACATAATAAGAAACTAAAACAGGTAAAAATAACCAAAAATTATATTAAATATTTAACCTTTTTTGTATGATATAATTTTCAAATTTAATCCAAACCTTTCATTAATTAAATTGAGGCGCACTGGGATGTCCATCAACATGTATTCCTTTGTTTCAGTAAATAAATCTGTTTCTATGAATATATGGTCTTGTAGTGTTCTGAATACTTCTAATATGCCATGACATTTGGTGTCCATACATTCTGATGATCGATCAATAACATACAACTTTATGCTATCTTCTAAACGTGTCAAGTCATGTTGTTTCCGATCTAATAATATTGTCGGGCTGGATAGTTTTTTTGAATTTTTACATTTTTTGTTTGAGCATTGGCGATATTCTTCATCTGATGGCGATTCCTTAAAAAAACTAGTGGCAATAAAGTTAACATTGCATCTAGCATCAATCAGTGAAATGTCTGTTATTCCAGTATCTTCTTGAAAAATCTTTCGTAGAAGTGATAAATGGCTTATATAAGTATTTTTCGAAACAGGTTCCGTTGCAAGTTTAGTACAGAACTTTAATAAATCATTGGTACTGTTATTCAAATAATTCTTATACTTTTCATTATCATTGTACGCGATTGCTATTAACACAGTTATCGAATCAAATGGACACGTATTTTGAAGCAGATAAGGTTTTTTTGACATAATTAGTGGTGTTTGTATGTTGCCATTTTGTAATAAGTTATTCTTGGAAGAACGTGTTGTACGATTTAACAGAATGCGGTCAATTTCTGGAACCGAATCCATGTATTTTGTTAATCTAGGTTTTTTATTTAGTTTTTTACTATTATTTGAAATTATTAGATCATCATTCCCTTTACCTTTCCAATTTTCGTAATTGTCGTAAGAATTGTCAGTTTCAAAATTGTCATCTGATTCATCATTATTGCTTAATAAATCGACGGTATCAGATGAAGTACCTATAAGCTGTTCGGTCATTTAACTCAGTATATTCTCGACGTCACGAGATTCGATGACATTTTGTTGCGAAAATATACTTCTTTGTTGTGCACTATGAAATAGTTTGGCATTACTTTTTATGTTTTGAAGATGAATAATTACAAATTTATCTACTGCCATTGGCTTTACATCGAAYCGTAAAATTTGGTTTTTTAATTCATTAAAACTACATTCGACGACTGCTGACGAGGCAACTTTATGGGGTGATTTAAAAAATGTTTGCATCACACTTGTTCATAAAGGAAAATCTTTACATATGCGGAAAACATCGTTTACAAGATCTGGTACATAATAAGCTKACTTTCGATTACCTAGAAGAACATTTGATAAAATGTTTAAGATAATAACATTAAAGCGTATTTTATTTATTAACCAAAAATAGATTTTTTTAAATATTAAATTAATAAAAAAACAGTTTAAAAGTTAGAACCATTTATCAAGGCTGGACAAGTTAATGATTTTTTTTAACTCAGTTAAGTTAAGTTAAAATTTTTTTGTTCAATTAAATTAAAAGTTAAGTTAATTAATTTTTTAATATATCAATTAAGTTTAAAGTTAAGTTCACAAATTTTTGTTAACTTAACTTMAATTAATAAGTTAAGTTAATAATAATAAAACGAACCGTTATAGACTAAAATATATTCTAGATAAAACAAAAATTCAAAATTAACTTAACTGGTAATATTAAAAAAATTGAAGTTGATTTTAAGTTAATAAGATATAAATGAGTTAAGTTAAAGTTAAGTTAATTAAAACAGCGAACTATTAAGCTAGTGCCAAAAGAGAACATATTATATTTTCCGTGGTATTGCAGGATGGTACTTTTATCGAAAAACAGGTTTTCTGGGAAATAATATTTAAAAAATGTGTGTTGTTTTTTATTCACGTACCACAGTATCTTTTTAATACTTAATAAGGTTTAAAAAATGACAATATAAAAAAAGTTTTTTTGTTTTTTATTCACGTTCCACAGCATTTTTTAAACTATTTTAATTTTGTTAAAAAATTATTATTTAAAAAGGTATTTTCAAAACGACTAAAATCAAGCCTCATATAATTTTATACACGAAACAATAATATTTTATCAATACATTTTATTTTTAATTGACATTTAACAGTTAATTTTCCTGTTTTTCGAATATTATAATTTTATTAATAGTGTTTTGTTTTTATTCACGTTCCACAGATTTTTTAAATATTTTTTAACTATTTTAATATTGTTTAAAAAATGATAACTTGAGAAAGAATTTTTTTTTATTCGCGTTCCGCAGTATTTTTAATTATTTTATTTATATTAAAAAAAAATGATTATAAAAAGGTATTCGTTGTTTTTTTATTTACTTTCCACAGTATCATTTTTAGGTTTTTTAACTTGTTAAAAAATTAACTGATTTTGTTAAAAAATATTACTTAGAAAACTTTTTACGGTTAAACTGGTAAGCTTATATACTAATGGTGAATTTGAGCCTCCCGAAGTGAGACTGTAATATTCTTTTGAAGTCTACCATACTTATCATATGATGAGGGGGGCTACATAAAAAATGTGGGATGCTCCGTGACCCTTCGTCTTGAAGTAAAAAAAATGTTTGTCAATGGAATAAGGTTTTCAAATGTTTTCAAATTATTTTCAAAATGATGCCCGGGGTTTGGAGAAAATTGGACAAAGTGGGGGGGCCAACTTTACACGCGTGAAAGACGTCAATATGCCACCTGCGAAATGGAAACTGGCACGCATTACAAGTGTACATCCAGTGAGCGATGGTAGGACGCGAGTAGTAACCATCCGCTTAGCATATGGGAACGAAGTAAGACGTCCTGTTGCAAGGCTCTGTCGTCTACCAGTCGAAGATGAACCAGAGAGATCTTGAAAATCACCATTTTCAAGAAGGGGGAGAATTTTTGCGCTTGGAACAACTATATTATTATTAGGTACGTTAGTGGCAGTACCGCCGACCGCTCCGCGCGCTTCCTACACCTGATCGACACACACACATACAACACATACCTTTTATTATTATGTTATTTTATTTTAGTTAATTCTATTTAATTATGTAATAATATGCAGATTAGGACGCTATCGTATGCCACCGCGTCGTCTACGCGAATATCGTTTAACACGGCTGCCTAACCAAATCAGTCTCTCTCGCACAACCGATGCATAGTGGTTTCGTATAATTAAGGCGCATATCGCCAATGCATATTATTTWATTATTATTATTATCAATATAGTGTGTGTTATTATCATTAGYTCCAACTASRATAGVTAGCAGCTGGCCAGCCGAGYACCGTCAKAWCTGTGAGTATTTTATTATTATTGGTATTATATTTTTTGTTATATACCTAAATTATTATCGTGCCATAAATGCTATATAATTACTATATTTATAAATTGTACCAGCTCATATAGCAGCACTTATTATACTTTGTCGGGCCAGGAGGGCCACTTATTAGATATTATCATATTATAAATTTATACTATTGAGCCAGTAGGTCATATATTATTTGTATTTCACGAATTACTGCTCAGATAGCTAACTTTATTATTTTTATATATATATATTATATTCGGCCGGGCCAGAAGTGCCGCAACCTTTATATTTATTATATTTTTACATGCTGGGCCAGTAGGGCCGTAGATTTCATATTATTCT